AAATTATAATTATATTTATATGCTTAAATTGTCTTGTTTATAGCATAGTCGATAATGACACGTTATTTACAAATCTATGCCAAACTTATGAATCAAAGTTTAATTCCAACGCTTAAGATTGATCATAATCATAAATGTGAAGTATGTGTTTAATTAAAGTTGGTCAAAACACCTTTTCAAGGAACACGACACCTTGAGAGTTAATACATAGCAACATGTGTTATTTGAAATTTGTTCAAACTAAATATGCTAAGAAATATTTTATCATTTACATTGATAATTGTATAAAGTATTGTTTTGTCTTTCTACTATAAAGTAAAGATGAAACCTTAGATGTATTCAAACATTATAAGATGGAAGTTGAGAATCAACTTGGTAAACGAATAAAAAACTATTCGTAGTGATAGATGTAGTGAATACGGGGCACCGTTTGACGAATATTATTTCGAGCATGGAATTATTAATCAAACAATAGTACCTTACTCACACCAATCGAATGGTGTTGTTGAATGTAACAACTGAACTCTTGAAGTGATGATGCATACAATGTCGATAAGTTTGGATTTACCCCAGAACTAGTGGGAGGAGCTATTCTTTGGACAAATAGAATTCTTAACAAGATATTCCATAAGAAAATGGAAGAAACTCCATATGAATTATGGAAAGGTCATCCTCCTTCCTACCAACACTTGAAAGTGTAGGGATGTTTGGGTGAGGTTGAAGTACCTGAGCCTAAACAAGTGAAAGTCAGTCCTAAGACAATTGATTGCATATTTATTGGATACGCCAATAATAGTAGTGCATATTGTTTCCTTGTACATAAATCTAAACTTCAAGATGTACATGAAAGAATCATACTTGAATCAAGAAGGCATCATTCTTCGATAATGTTTTTCCATATAAAGGCAAGGAAAATGCAAGTTCAAATAAAAGAACTTATGATACTTCAAATGAGAAAGAACCAAGGTGTAGTAAAGGGGCTAAAATATCTACTTCGTTTGGCCTAAATTTTTTAACATATATGGTATAAAATGATTCAAAAACTTTTGATGAAGCAATGTTTATACCGAAAGCACTGCATTGAAAAGAAGCTATCAATAGTGAGATAGATTCTATAATACAAAACCATACTTGGAAATTTGTTGATCTACCTCCCGGAAATAAGCCTTTAAAATGTAAATGGATCTTTAAAAAGAAATTTAAACTGGATGGGTCCATTGACATATACAAGGCTAGATTAGTCGCCAAAGAATATAAATAAAATGAAGGACTTGAGTTCTTTGATACCTACTTATCCATGACTAGAATCACTTTGATAAGATTGTTAATTGTGATTGCAGCATTACATAACCTTAAGATTCATCAAATGGATGTAAAGACTACATTTCTAATGATGAATTAGAAGAAGAAATATACATTGAACAACCCGAAGGGTTTGTCTCTCCTAATCACAAATAAAATGTTTGTAAAATAGTTAAATTCTTGTATGGATTAAACAAGTTCCTAAACAATGATATCAAAAGTTTGATAAAACAATGTTGTCTAATGGATTTAAGATAAACGAGTGTAACAAATGTGTATACATAAGACACACTGAAAGCCTATGTGATTGTACGTCTATATATAGACGACATATTGATAATGGGCAATAGTCACGAAATAATGTACACCAAGAGAATGTTAACGAAATATTTTGATATGAAAGACTTGGGTGGGGTGTTGTTGATATGATATTAGGGATTAAAATATCGGAAGAAATTATTCTTTCTCAATCTCACTAGGTTGAGAGTATACTTAAAATATATAATACACTTGAAAAAAGTCTCGTGAAAAACCATATTGACAGAAGTTTACACTTAATCAAAAATACAAGTGAATGTGTGTCACAACTAAAATATTCATAGGTTATAGGCAATCTAATGTATAAATTTAGTAGATTACAAGTGATTCAATCCATGATCATTTGAAGACTTTAACAATGGTTCTTAGGTACTTGAAGTATACCTTAACCAATAGATTATACTTCACAAAATATCTCGCAGTATTAAAAGAATATTGTGATGCAAATTGGATATCCGACATGAAGAATTTTAAGTTTACTAATGGTTATGTATTTACTACTAGTGGAATAGATGTATCATGGAAGTCGACAAAGCAAACGTGTACAACTCAATCAACGATGAAATCAGAGTTTATTGTTTTGGATAAAGTTGGAGAAAAAACAGAATTACTTTGTAACTTCTTGAAAGATATTCCATGTTGATATAAGTCGGTACCTTCAATAGATATACACTGTGATAATCAATTAGCTATTGGAAAGGCTCAAATCAGCATATATAATGGTAAGTCTAAACATACATGTCATAGACACAATACCATTAAACAACCGATCTCCAATGGTATTATCTTCATAGATTATGTGAAGTCTACAAAGAATATCGTGGATCCACTTACGAAAGGTTTACCAAGAGATCAAGTACATTGTCTATCGAAATGAATTGGACTAAAACCTACGTAAGAATCTTTGTAATGGCAGTCTTACCTTGTTGATTGGAGATCCCAAG